ATATATGTTAATCATACAAATACGTTTTTTTTCAACTGTGATGCAATGAAACAAAATTTGGATCTGTCGGATTTTGTCAATGCCTTAGATTGCCTTAGAACAGAGGTCGGCAACCTGCGGCTCGCGAGCCGCATGCGGCTCTATTGGTGTCCAGTTGCGGCTCTTCAGCTACATGCCCAAATATTAATAATTATTTTAATTTCAAAACTCATAAAAAATATTAGTCTGCAACACTCAGTAATAAACGATATAACAATAGATATAAACAATAAACATTCACTATTATATTAGAATATTTAGTTACTCCCTATCTCAATGTACTTCCTATTACATTGTCCATTCCGAATTGAAACATTAAACTTCATAGTGGATATCACAAAAAAACTAAACCAGCTAAGTATAAAACTGAAAGGATAACCAAGCCTATGTCTTGTTTGAAGAAGTGATTTGTTTCGAAAAAAAAATAATACTTTTTTTTTGTTGAATACATGGTGAGCGGTAAATTACTTAATTACGAAAAATCTTTAAAAAAATATCGTAATGAAACCAATGCTACTATTCAATCACTTCAGCATTAATATAAACAAAATGAAGGGTGTTTTCACTGAGAGATTTGAGCTATTCAAAACAAATGCAAGTACTCTGCCTCACATAGTAGATCCTCTCAAAACAAATTCAAATGAGATTATTTCATATATTCAAAGCTATTTATTTAAAATTACATATCTATCTATATATATAATTCTCTTATGGGAGCCGTTAGAAAACAAGCTGCAAGCGCCTCCTTGCAGTCCCCTCTCTTTCTCTTTCTCTCTATCACTATCACTACCACCCCCACCCCACCCCCACATTGTCTGGTGAGTTGTGGTCACACTAAATGTTTACAAAGCTAAATGTTTACAAATCGTAGAGCCGTAGATCCGGGTTTCTATGAGGGGCAGATAATTTAGTTCGATTTTAAAATTACAGGAGGTAACTAAGAAATAACTAAGAGGAGGCTCCTTTCACGGGGGGGGGGGGGGGTGTAGGGTCGGGGTTAGGGGAAAGGGGGGGGGGGGTAGTGTTTTAAAGCAAGTATTTTCAGTGGCAGCATTGGTACTGTCGAATTCACAAATTATGAATTACTGAACAGTAGAAAATAAAACAACTAAATAGCGGCGTATGATACGCTGCGGGTCGGCTCGTATAATATATTTGTTTAGGATTATATATATATATATATATATATATATATATATATATATATATATATATATATATATATATATATATATAATCCTAAACAAATATACTATTGACATAAAAATGTTAGTGGCTCTTTAAAAAACGGGTATTGTTGAAAATTGTAACTTTTGGCTCTTTAGACTCAAAAGGTTGCCGACCCCTGCCTTAGAACAAGGGAAAAAAAAAAACACCACAACTCACAACTCAAAATTAATTGTCATCCACTGCTATTTTTTTTTACCGATATTTACCTCCTAATGTCACCCATCATTACAAAAAGCCAGCGCCCCCCCCCCTCTCCTTGCACAAAGTTCCACATTCCCATTTTAATAAACATGGTTTTCATAATTTTCGCCCCGCCCCAAATAGCACATTTTCAGAAAAATATGACACTCTCTCCTAAACGTGCGACAGCTTCAAAATCTTTGAGAGAAAGAGAACGAAAAGAAAACGAAACTATAGTTAGGGGCAAAATAATTAAGAAACATTAAACTTCAAAAAATAATAAACGGGATAGATACATTGCATTAGCATTGGCAATTGCATCTTTTCATTCTAGTATACAGCTAAAGAGAACATTTAATTTAGTAAGTTACTTTCAAACGTTGTCGACAAAAGTAGAGTGCTGAGTGCTGAAGAAAAATTATCGCACCCCCCCCCCCCCCTGAACGAAATGGAATTTAAATAGATAACATACTTTTACCAGTTCTCTCTCTCCCCCCCCCCCCGGAAAATGTTGTCCGCCCCCTCCCCCCCCCCCTGAAAATATCAAGTGCCCCCCGGAGAAAAAAGTCTGGAAGAAACACTGGTGCTGTCTCATGGCGTGTTTGTGGAATACGATGACAATCAGTGTTTGTTTTGTTGAATTAACATCTCAATGAAATAAGCCCTACTAATTAGAGATATAGAGACTCAATGAACATACGCGTGATTTTCTTATAAACGACTACTTTGTTAAAAAAAAGTTAATCTACTGATCGAAATGCCATATTTTTCTATAATACAAGCTTCAGCCACGCTTAACTTAAAAAAAATCTCAATTTCAAAATTTAGTTTGTGTTGACTTAACATAAGAGGACGGAGGCGGTACTTGGATATTTTTTTCATGCACATATTTGCTTTTGTAGCAGTTTCTATGACAAATGCACTCAAGAGATACTAAATTCTATTTGAATTACATAACCCCAACTACACAACGACAATGACTATGTTAAGGCGACTTCTCTAGCTTTAGACAACTTCTTTAAATAGCTTTTTTAAATTTCATAATCGATTCGGGTGGTTTCTCAACTGTTTTATTGATCCCGATCAGATTCACATCTTTTGTAATAAACTCGTTTTGGTTAAAGTCCATTTCTGCCGTCCCTGACTCCCATTTTGCTACAGCCCTGTACTCCTGTCCCTGACTCCCATTTTGCTACAGCCCTGTACTCCAGTCCCTGACTCACACTTTTCTACAGCCCTGTACTCCTTTCCCTGACTCCCATTTTGATACAGCCCTGTACTCCAGTCCCTGACTCCCATTTTGCTACAGCCCTGTACTCCTTTCCCTGACTCCCATTTTGATACAGCCCTGTACTCCTGTCCCTGACTCCCATTTTGCTACAGCCCTGTACTCCTTTCCCTGACTCCCATTTTGATACAGCCCTGTACTCCTGTCCCTGACTCCCATTTTGCTACAGCCCTGTACTTTTGTCCCTCACTCCCATTTTGCTTCAGCCCTGTACTCCTTTCCCTGACTCCCATTTTGATACAGCCCTGTACTCCTGTCCAGTGGCGTAGCGAGGTCGGGTGTCAACCGGTGCGGCACTTAATGGTGTCACCCCCCCCCCCAGAGGCATAGAGACCCTTCCCAGGGACAAACTTTCAAATTTTCGATTTGCACCCCCCCCCCTCAAACTTTCGATTTGCACCCCCCCCCTCGAGTTTTCGATTTGCACCCCCCCCCCCTCAAACTTTCGATTTGCACCCCCCCTCGAGTTTTTCTCTATATATTTTGCTATTTTTTGCCTTGGTGTCACCCCCCTAAATGGTGTCACCCGGTGCGGTCCGCACCCCCCGCCCCCCCCCCCTCGCTACGCCCCTGCTCCTGTCCCTGACTCCCATTTTGCTACAGCCCTGTACTTTTGTGCCTGACTCCCATTTTGCTTCAGCCCTGTACTCCTGTCTCTGACAACCGTTTTATGTTACAGCCGTAGATTGCTGTTCCCGATCCCATCATATGCAATAACTTACTGAGCATTGAGTAACCCAGTGTTATTCTTAGAACGCGTCATTAGCTTATCCACGCTGTCCTGATACAAACATTGAGTTTCAAGTAACTAATGGAATACAATGATACCTTTTAAGTCGGTATTTGATCCGAAACAGAGGGGGGACGGCGGGGGGGACGACATATGTCCCCGGGCGCCGACCTTAGGGGGCGTCAAAATGGGTTGGAAAAATAAATTGAAAGCTTGAGGGGAGTGCAAATCGAAAATGTGAGGGGGGGGGGGGTGCAAATCGAAAGTTTGAGGGGGGTGCAAATCGAAAGCTTGAGGGGGGGTGCAAATCGAAAGTTTGTCCCCGGGCGCCGGGAAGGGTCGCTACGCCTCTGACAGACACAGTAGCTATTTGAGGACAAAATTAAATTTTTTCCAGGCATTTCTCCGGTGGGGGCAATGCTACCTCCCCGGGGCACGTGTACCGCACCTCCCAGGACGAAATAAAAAAAATAGTATAGAAAATATATAGGTTACTTTAGCCAGTGTCCACAATACCCCGTAAATTTTAATTTTAAGTACGACCCCCCTCCCCTCGAGAAAATGTCCGAAATAAGAAACCCTGGTCGTGGAATGCTACTGATTGAAGGTTTGTATAGATTAATTGTATACGATAAACAGAAAAGTTTTTAAAGAAAATAAAACAAATATGCCCACATTTTGCCCTATAAGAAACCTTTATAGATCAGGCCCTAAGCTTTTAAAATAAATACGCTGCAAAAATAAACTTGCTTTCTTTAGCATAAGCGCTGTTCTCTCCAGTGTTTCTTCCAGACATTTTTCTCCGGGGGGGGGGGGGGGCACTTGGAATTTTCGGGGGGGGGGGGGGCGGTAGACTTTCTTCGGGGGGGGGTGGACACTGTTAAAAGTATATATTTTCTATATAAATTTCATTTCGTTCGGGGGGGGGGGGTGTAAAAAAATTTCGGGGGGGCTTTGCCCCCCCCCCCCCCGAAGAGATGCCTGGAAGAAACGCTGGTTCTCTCATGAAAGCCCTTACACTTTCTAGCGATTATAAAGTTAAAAAAAAAACCCATTGAGCATCAAGAAATGTACTGAATGTATGGGTCAGCACACACGCATAATTTGTCAAACAAAATACTTCTATACAGTGCGATTTATTTACCCCTCCCTTCAGAATTTATTTTAAAATACTCCAAAACATTCCGTTTTTTAACTTATGTCAGTCATTGTAGGCTACAGTTAGCAGGACCAAGGCTTACCTTCTATGACAAACCAGCTTCTCTTGTGGGCTTAGGGCTTAGGCGTTTAAGTATTTTTGCATAAATTTTACTTGTAGAGTCTGCGTGCGATCTCGGCACATTTAGATCTAGAATCTATGTGATATAAACTCTTCAGGTAACTGTAGTAATTAAACACACTTTATGTTGTACTTTTAAGATAAACAATATTATAATATCAGGATTAGATTAAGGCTGAACATCAAAACTTAAAATAGGGTTTGGCTTCAATTTTAATAAAATCTGGTATCTTAAACTTTTATCAACTTTTGTATTGAAGCTCTTGTATTCTAGATTCTAGTCCTGTGTTATTATTACTTTACTACTTTATTTAATACTTAGCTCTTACTAACAGATCTAGAGTCTAGGTCTAGACCTATTCTAGATCTAGATATTACTTACTACTTAGCGATTGACTCATGATTGAGTAGCGTTCTGTGGTTTCCAAATCAATGTAATTGTATTTATTGTAAAAAGCTAAACTTTTTTGTTTTACTTTTTTAGACTTAGAAGTTAGAATCTAGATTCTAGATCTAGATCTAGATCTAGATCTAGATCTAGATCTAGAATCTTGATTCTAGATCTAAGGTAGATCTAGATCTATATGTTACGTAATGTATGTTGTCAGTTTAGTGAAGTTTAAAACACTACTGAGAACATTAGTACTTTATTTGATGATTTAAAAACGATAGTGAGAACATATCTAGAATAATCTCTATTCTAGATCTAGAATACCCTAATTTTAATGGACACCAGCGAGTTGACGAGAATCCTTCTGTAATGCTGTTGACATGTGCTTTTTTAGATTAGGACCGTAAAAGTAATAAAAAATAAAAACTTAAGCCTAAAATTAATTCAGAAATTTAATATTTTTAGAATCAATGCTATAAAAGTTGAAGATCCAGAGAACTTGAAAATAATTTGTTGAGTTTTATTTAGGCTACATTTCTATTTATTTTTTATCAAAAAAAAAAAAAAAACAATTTGGTTTGCATGTGCAAGGACGATATAAACAATGGCATCCTGCCATTCGATATGCTTACAAAAATTTTATTGTATAGGCCTACATTGAACATTGTTGTAAGCAAAAAAAAAAGGAAATCCAGGTCAAGGGGTTTAAATTTGCAGTTATTTAAAAACTATTTATCTGCAAAGTTTTATAAACAAATAGTTATCCATCAATAGTTATCCATCACGGAGTTCCTGTACAGCCAATCAATATTAGTCTTACGAAAATGAAACATCCGGTTATAACTTAGGCTTGATGAAAATAAATAAATGTAGCCTAAAACTCAACAAATTATTTTCAAGTTCTCTGGATTTGCAACTTTTATAACATTGATTTTAAAAATATATAATTTCTGATTTATTTTTAGGCTTAAGTTTTTATTTTTTATTATTTTTATGGTCGCTTTGATTTCAAAATCTAAAAAAAGCATGTTTTTAATCCATGTCAACAATATGATAGAAGGATTCTCGTCAACTCGGTCAGCTCCATTGGCCGAGGCTAATAAAAAATGTGCGGAAAAGTTGCCTCATTGTTAATGCTTTAACAGAAGTATATTGTGATATATTTGTGTCAGATATGATTATAGATATAGATAACTGAATAATAAACCAAAATCAATGGCTAAATTTATCAATATAGGCCAGAAATTAACTTTAAACCGCTGTGTTTATGAGCAGGATTTGCTATATATAAACAGCTGCCATCTAGCTGGGGACAGCCACTCTTCTAGGAGAGACAACTCCAAAATCAAACAACTGCTGCCTTGTAGTTTGTTCTTGGTTGGATAAAGGCTATGGAAGCAAATCCAAAAAGAAAAGCAGGCTGAAATCGGAGTCAATGGCCTCAATGGCGCATAACCAGTTGACACGCATCCTTAATTGTGATGGAGGCGTGGTCGAGTCGGCTAAAGGTCATGGTTGATAAATTCGAAAAAGTTTAGAGTTTGAACCCTTTGGCAGATAAGGCTTGATCCCTTCCAATTCCAACACTAAAAATTAAGAACGAAGAAGAAGATTTAGATCTCTATGTCATATTAGTTAGGCTAAGTATTAAGTTAATAAGATAGACAATTCTTTAATTATTATCAATAGCCATACCTGACTAAAAAAGGTGAGTTAGTCTCTAGATACTTTAACTTTAGGATAAATAGTAGGCCCCTAATACTATTAAATATTTTTTAAAGAATATTTATTTAGCCTACAACTATTTAATGATTTAATGAATATTTTCCCCAGCAAAGTTTTAACATGGCAAGTCGCCCAGGAAGTGCAACTTCCCGTACTGCTTGGGATGGAGGCTTAGGAGATGGCATTCGGGATGATCCTGATGAGGTACGTTTTAACTGTATTTGCTCAAATTAGACATTAAAAAATAGCCTATTTCCAGGTGATATGAATTTTCAAAGGTTTGTTTTATCTTAATAAAAATTATCAGTGAGTATGCTTTTAAAGTAGTGATTATTCTTTAAACAATACATTTTGCATTAGTGAAAAAACTTTAAACTACTTGATAACTTTTTCAACAAATACCAGAAGTGGTAAGTTTTGTAATTTTTACCATTTTAACTGATGTTTTAGTTTGTTTTTTACTTTTCTGCTAGGTCTACATGGTTGGACAGAGTCAAAGTGCTAAGTCTTCAACAAGTCAAATGATGCATTCGGCCACTGATTTGAAAAGTTCACCTGGTGGTGGAGTGTTTCAATCATTCTTGAAGGGTGTACGATGTAAGTTTAAAATAATAAAATATATTATAATATGGTGCATAATTTAAACTTGTACAAAAGATCAGATTAGAAATTATTTTTGACAAAGTATACTTATGTATGCTAAAAATGCTCCTAAAAGAACATTAAAATCATTTATTGGTGCACTCAATTGATATGAAGTTCCAACTGTTATTTGAATATTTTCTTAGCTTTATGGGCCACAAGACAAACTGAAGAAACAAACACAAACCGCGAGCTCTACGTGACAACTACACTCAGAGAGCTGATAGTGTACATTGTATTCTTGGTTGTGCTTTGTGTCAGTAAGTAGCTCTTTATCCAAAATGCTTTATAACAAATTTTATAGTATGATCTGATGTATATTTATGTCACTAATTTAATAAAAAATTCATAGTTTATTTATTTCCAGATTTCTGGGCATAATAGAATAAAATAAATTTAAACATTATTAAAATTTAATATATTTATAAAATGTCATGTCTAATCATTGGTATATTGACATTTTTCCCCAGTTACATTTGGCATGACTTCCACAACAATGTACTACTACACAAATGTCATGAATAATCTGTTCTTGGGATCTTCATTGTCAGACCAAGATCCAACAACCTTTAAGGACATAACAAGTGTTGAGAACTTTTGGGATGTATGATCAATATTTATTTTTATGTGTTATTACTTCATCCTTTCAAATGTTGTGACATCACTTCTCAATTTTGTTGCTAAAATTAATTTTTTTTTTGCTGCAATGGAGTTATTTTGTGATATTGTTTTCAGTACTTAAAAAGTCCACTGTTGGATGGATTGTACACAGAAACCTACTACAACAACCAGTCCATTCCTGAAGGAGAGATGGGATACATTTACTATGAAAATAAGTTGTTAGGTGTGCCGCGAATCAGACAAATAAGAGTTCACAATCATTCCTGTCAGGTGAGTTAATGAATCGGAAGCTGTTCACTGTTTTATGTCAGTTGTCTTCTTCAAAATAAGGGATCATTACTTTAATTAGGAACATCATGAGATACTTTAATCTAATTGATTGTTTGTTGCAAAATATTTATTGAATTCTATAGGTCCATGAAGACTTCAAGAGCTTTATAAGCGAGTGTTATGACTCGTATGCTGAAAGCATTGAAGATAAAGAACCATTTGGGAAGTACCTAGAGGAACCTAATAATACTGCGTAAGCCTTTTTTTATATATTTTTCAAATATTATTTACTTTTATAAAGGTTTTCAAATTATTATTTGTTATTATCTTGTTATTTTAGGTGGCATTATTATAGTGAAAGTACATTGAAAGGATCATCTCATTGGGGAAAGCTGAACACCTATAGTGGTGCTGGATCTTACAAAGATCTTGCATCCACACACGATGACTCTGCTGCAATCATTGATGATTTGTTCAACAATCTGTGGATTCGTCGTGGAACTCGTGTTGTGTTTATAGACTTCTCCGTCTACAATGCAAATATCAACCTTTTCTGTGTTATTAGGTTAGTTGGAATAATGTTTTTATGTTTTTGTTTAGTTAATCTACACTAGAGTTTGCCATCATCAGCAAGTTGATAATAATCTAATATAATATAGTTTATACTATGCAGATCAGACAACCTTAATTTTGCTCTGATATAATTTGTTTTTAAATTTTCATAATTGAAATTGTTTTTATAATCTGCTTTATACTTTACTTTTTGTAGTATGTATGCATTACTTAAATCCAATGCTATAAGCCATTTCCTTTTTTACACAGACTGCTGGGAGAATTTCCTGCCACTGGAGGAGTGATTCCATCTTGGACTCTACGAACTGTGAAGCTGCTTCGCTATGTGACAGTTGGCGACTACTTCATTCTGGCCTGTGAAATAATCTTCTGTTTGTTTATCTTGTACTACACAGTGGAAGAGGTTCTGGAGGTATGATCATGTTATTTTAGATATGGTGTTAATGCTGCTGAACATTTGTTCTTTTTACTCAATACGCTGATATATGTTTAAAAAAAAACCATATTAAATACTAAAAATTTAATGCTTTTTAAAAATTTTATCAGATTAAGAAACACAAACTTTCCTACTTTTTGGGCTTCTGGAATATTCTGGATATTCTTGTTATCCTCATTTCCATTGTGTGTGTGGGATTCAATGTGTACAGAACAGTGGAGGTAATTTAATCTTTATTAGCTGTATTTTCATTGCATTCACATAAAAGCTATTATGTACTAATCGTTAATCATTATTTAAATTTAAAAGTGCTGATTAACATTTTTATTATAATATTCAGTTTTATGATGTAGTAAAAGCATTATTTGTGATACACTTCGAAAAAGTGTGTATTTAAAAAATAAAAAGCTATTTTGAATGTTAAGCTAATGATTTGATACGGTTGTGCTTTTTGACAAGCTTGTTTACTAATCTTAGACTTTTTTCTTCACTAGGTTAACAATAAGCTTACAGAACTATTGAAAGACCCAAAAATCTATGCTGACTTTGAGAGGCTCAGCTATTGGGAAACAAGGTTCAGCAATGCTATAGCTATTGCTGTCTTCATGGCTTGGATCAAGGTAAGAAAAAATTGCTATTGTTTTCTCTCACTTAGAATTGAGCTCTTTTCCATAGGTATTGGATTGATTTAAATTTGAATTGTATAAAGATCTAGTTAAAATCTTTAAAAAAATGTTTTACAGTACATATTCTTGTTTTCATATTTTACTAATTTTCAATAAATGTATATCTTTAATTTATTCAATTACAGTAATAATAGTAGGCATGGAGGCCTTTTTTCACATTGGCTGTTTTAAAATAAACAAATAAAACAATTTAATAACAGCATTTTAAAAAAGCAATTGCATAATAACGACATAATTACATTATTCGGATCTGAAAATGTTAACTTTTGAACATGTTTAAAATTTTTAAAATTACATTTCAGTAACACATCTGAGAATTTTAAAATTGTTTTTGTTTAGATATTTAAATACATCAGCTTCAACAAAACCATGACCCAGCTGTCATCCACCTTGGGGCGCTGTGCTAAAGATCTGGCAGGATTCTTTGTCATGTTCATAATTATCTTTCTGGCCTTCACCCAACTTGGTTACCTACTCTTCGGAACTCAGGTGGAGGACTTCAGTTCCTTTGAGAACGCATTGTAAGTTGTAATTATATTCTATATGACCTAGCAAATGTTACAAATTATTGATGATTTAGAGATGCTTAATTCTTTTTTTAATGTGTACCTCTTTATCTGAATATTTTCTTTCATTTAGTTTCACCCTGTTCCGAATCATCTTGGGTGACTTTGACTTCCACCAGCTGGAAGAAGCCAACCGTATCCTGGGCCCCATCTTCTTCATGCTGTTTGTCTTCTTTGTATTCTTTGTTCTGATCAACATGTTCCTGGCTATTATCAATGATACCTACTCTGAAGTGAAGTCTGACATGGCCAATGCCAAAAATGAGTTTGAAATTGCCGACTACTTTAAGCGGGTAAGTAGTTAACACAGATAACTTAGTTAGTTTCTATCTAGGTAGTGCTGGTCTTAACAAATGTTCACACTGCCATAATGCTAGTTGTAATTTTGATAAAACGCTTGTTTAGTTTATATCAGGTAAGAATTTAAACATTTATTTAGAGTTATGTGTGGTGGGACTGTGTGGACACTTGGTAGAGCATGTGACCACCAACTTATCTGATCTGGGTTTTAACACGGGTGATGCCTATGTTAAAACTGATCCGTAAGTTGTTCCTAAACTAACAGAGCTTTAATAGGAACCTAACAGCAGTTTATTAGAATAAAGACAGTGGCAATAAAAGCAGATAGACTCTACTCTATCTAGCCCACCAAGTTTTGAAAAGGAAATTCTCTTGCTTTTTTTTTAGGGTTGTGATGTTGTTTTTCAGGGTTACGAAAAGATGCTTGACAAACTAAACTTCAAGAGGGACAAAATCATTGACATCCAGAAAGCATTGCGAAGTGCTGACATCAACCAGGACAAACAACTGGACTTTGATGAATGGCGTCAGGACCTGAAATCGTAAGATTTAATCAGAAAAGAATTTTCCAAAATTTTAAAATGCTAATTTTACTCATTTCAGTCATATGCAATACATTTATGCATTATATTTGAAAATGTACATAGTTTGTAGGAGATATAAATGTTTTTTATAAGTATTCTAAAAGCATGATTTGTTTCTATAGGCGAGGCTATGCTGATGGTGAAATTGAGGCAATGTTTTCAAAGTATGATATTGATGGAGACAGAGTCTTGGATGAAGAAGAACAAAAACGAATGCAAGCAGACTTGGCAGATCAAAAAGTAAGATAATAATAATCAAAGAATTAATCAAATCAATAACTTTTCAAAGTTTTAGATATTTACTTAATAAGAAATTTTTATGTTTTGTCATTTTAAAACGTTTTTGCTCATAGGCTGCACTTAATAAAGAATATGAAGATCTTGGTGGAGGTAAAACAGATCGTCCAGGAACAGGTCGTCGGTCCAGTAGTCGAGCTAGCTTCAATGAAGGAGATAGTGGAGAGGACAGTGATGATGAAGATAGTGGAACCAAATCATCACGTACTGGTAGAACATCGAATGGTGTTTCATATGAAGAATTTACAGTTTTATCTAGAAGAGTTGATAGAATGGAACATTCTATCGGCAGCATAGTTTCAAAAATAGATGCAGTTTTAGTCAAACTTGAAGCTATGGAAAAAGCAAAATTAAAACGCAGAGAAACTATGGGCAAAATTTTAGATAGTATTACAGAGGTAAGTTTTGAACTTATTTTTTTGGACACTTACCTATGTTCTTGTGTTAAAGCATTGAATTTTTATTCTAAGTTATCACTTATCTTATATTTTACTATACATTCAGGCTTTATCAACATAGCTTTTGCAAAAATTGTTTTTTTTAAAGATTGATTTTATCTTATCTATTCTTTCCTCTCCACAACAGTCTGATGGCACAAGTGATGAAATAAAAAGAGAACAGATGGAAAAATTAGTCAGAGAAGAATTGGAGAGGTGGGATTCTGAGACATCAGTAGGTGCCAATAGCGCTAGGGGCGCATCTCCTGGTGGTGGAAGTGGTCACAGTGGGCTGCGCTCTAGATCAAGGGCAGAGTCCAATCAAAATGGGGTAAGTGTGTTTCATTGATGTAGCAGTAAAAAAAAAAACAATTTGTAAGCTTACTCTTGTTACTCTTATCCATAGCAGCTGTAATATTTTTCCTAAAATATTTCCCTGTAAGCTGGTTGTAATTTGACCCTGTTAATGTAATTTTCTATTGCAGTCCTCTGATGTGTAGTGGGTAAAATTTTCAGTATTGCCTGTTGTTTACATTATTTTAATAAATCTCAAAATTTTGGTTGCTTTCAAATGCATACCCCAATATGAGCCATGATTGTACATTATTTTGCTCAAAATCACATTTGACAAAAATATTAGTAAACTTGAAAAGAATTGATAAATCAAAAGTAAATTTGTCAGAAATAAAATATTAAATATGATTGAAGTATGAAAAAAGAATTTGGGATTAAAACAAGCAACAATCACATTCATGCAGTATTTCAAATAATGTACAATTCATAAACGCCACAATAGGTTTAATAATGCCTTCATTTAAATAACTTTCACCATGTTCAGAATTCTCTTATTAACTGATCAAAGAACATAATGCCAATTAGTGAGGATTGAAGTTTTTTTTATATAACAATGATTATTAGGCTGCATGAGTAAAGCTCTTATCATGCATCAACTAATAGATATCCAAAGGAAGAATATCTTGTTTACTTCTGTGTTAGCTGCATACTAAAAGATTTTGTCTCACTAATTTAATGCATCTTATTTAATTAAACTTTTGAAAATTGTTCCATTAATTTTCAAGCCCAATATATCATCATATATGGCATCATTAATTTAAATTTAAATGAAAGGCTCATTGTATTGTTTAATCTCTTACATAAAGGCCTGTTAATTATTGCATGACAATTATATCACATAATTATGATGATTTCTAATTTTAAGTTTCTTATGTATATACTGAAAAGTGCATTTACTTTTTAAGTAATGTTAATAGTGTTTTGAGAAAAACAATTGTAAGTTTTTTTGTTTTACTCAGTAGATATAGTACAAATCACAGACTAGTTTTACCACCATGAGATAACATTTTGCCTTGAAATTATACAAAACCCAGAACTAGCTTTGCCACTTACCTCATGCTAAATTCAAATTAAATCCAATACAGTTTACACCAGTTGCAATACATATTTTAAACATATTGCTAGATAATAATTCAAAATGAATATACTAAAACTTGTTTAAAATTTTTAAAAGTAACAACTTCTTTATTACTAAAATCTGACTCTAATGAACATTCTAAAAGTAACTACTTTTTATCCCCAAAATGCAACACTTAAAATGGTTACTGATGTTATTTATTTTTAGTGTTTACCAATAATTCATCACCACTATAAAATATAATTTTTTTTGGGAAGATTTAATAAAAAGGATAAATGATGAACTGTTGGGGTAATAACAGACATTTTCAAAAATTAGATACAATTATAAACTTATCTGTAAAATGTGTATTAACATAAACCAATAACATTTGACAGGTTTAGTAATTTAAAAAAAATTATTTATTTTCAGGACCCTGAAGATCATCACATGACCTCAAGTTTTTAGTTTAATTATTGATTGTAAACTTAAGAAATTGTCAGACCAAATTTGTTAACACCATTCCGGTAACATGGTGATTCTTAACTATTTGCTACAAATTTACAGATTATGAATATTTAAAAGTTGATGTCAATTGTTGGTAATATTTATAATACATAACTCTTGTACTATTACTTTTTGTTTTGTAAAAATGTTTATTGTAATTACAAAAGGGAAATTAATTCTATTTTTTAGCAAAAATTCAAGACTATTTAAAAAGAATGACATTCAAATACATTTTTAATTTTAAAAAACAATTAAATTTTCGGCATTAATACTCATTGTTCTAAATAGTTTGAATACACTGATACATTTTGATTGGTTTTGTTTGGTCAGTTGTTGTCAAGTAAAGTAGTTGTTGACATATGCACAATGTAGAACAGATATTTTTCATGAGAATTTTTTAGCTTTTCACCCATTTGAAACTAAAGTTTCTTTGTGATGAAATAATTACAATTTATTTTTTAAAATATGAACTTAAAATTTTCACAAAGCAGATTTAAAAATATATTTAAAAAGTTAAAGTTGTCTTAAAATTTTAGAATTGTTAAATTATTTTTCCAATTAATTTAGGTAATATGTTATTATTTTACGCTTGTTAATATTAATTAAAAAATTAAATGTTAACATTCTTAACAAAACTACTAAATGAAAAGGAATCTTTCAGTGTTTGTTAATGTCAATTTCAAATTTAGGTTACAAATTCAAATACCTGTAATTAGTGTTTGAAAAAATGTTTAGAAATCATATCTGTGATATTTACTATAATTTTCAGTTTATCTTATAACAATCATTTCAAGGTATATCTTGGAAATCCACTTTTTTTTATTTCCTTTACTATGCTAGTCAAAAAACAAACCTCTATAAAAGAGGTGCCTTTTCTGTGCAAAGATACTTGTACTTATTTTCCCCGTCCAGATCGCTTGATCACAATACTGCTGTTAATTAACTTGAATTTACAAATATTTTTTTTTGTACAAAACAATTTTATACTGATCTAACTTTTTTCTGGTGGCTTGCTGCTGAACAAGACTTCTGTAATTTTTAAATCCGTCCATGTAACTTGTTATGCTCTTAAAAAAAAAACAACCTGTTTTTTATGTTGCTCATTTACAGCCAGCTACTCAAATCCAAATATAGGTAGCTCCTTTGATTTTTCTCTATTTGTCCACTGTTTCAAATACATTTTTCTATTTCTTCAATTAAAAAAAATGCCTATAAGGCTAAATATCCTTCAAAAAATTGATTATACAATAGTTGATGCATCTAATGCTAGTATTTTATACAATTTTGATGTTTGTAAAAATTTACCTTATTTACCTCACTTTGAATGAAAATATAGGTCAAAATTTTGTTATGCTAATTATGTTTTGAAATTATACATCTTTACTTTTAAATATTATATTAACAAATTTCTTACAACTGTTTTTATCTTACATGGCAGTTAATTAAAAATGCTTACGCATTATTACTAACAAATGTATTTGAGAAATTAATTTCTTAAAATGTCAACACAATTATACTAAAGCATTGAGGAACAAGAATATATAACTAATTTATTATATTTTGAAATTTTGTTACATCTGTATTCTGTTAGCTCAATTATTTGACTGAAACATCTTTCTGTAGCATAATATCAGTTGGATTCAATTGAAGTAGTAAATAACCTGCATTAATTAGTCATTGATGTTGTTAGTGTTTGGTTTCAATAAAAGTGTGTTGCAACAATTTACATTTTGTCTTTTGAGATTGTTCAATTTACTTTTTTAATTAATTTCAATGTGAAGCATATTTAAATCTTAAGTGTGTTGTGAAGTTAGCATTGACCTAAACTGTAAGAATGAAGTGAGACGTGTTAAATAAAGGTTAAACAATGCCCTGTTGGCAACTCATAGCCATGACAGCTATGAATAAATCTTCTAAGCAAGCTTGATAGATTAAGTATCATGTGGTGACAAATTTCATCCATACAAAAAATATGATTTTGCTATATGATAAATTTGAAAAACTTTGCCAATTTTTCAAAAAAATAATAAATTAATTAGCTGCTCAAAGACTATTGTTGTATTCAAATTTTGCCTTAGTTATTGATTTATGAAAATAGTTTAAACTGAACATCAGATAGGAAAGGTAATGAGAAGTTGATCTGGGTTAGTTATCCTTGTCAAAGTTTAAGAAGGCTGCCTTGTCAATGTCTCGTCAAAGCTATTAGATCTAAAGGTTATTTATATTAGTTTATTAAAATAACATCAGTGATAGTGATAGCTTGAGGCTTAAACATTACTGATCAGCAATAGGCCTATATATATATATATATATATATATATATATATATATCATGATATATAATGCAATAAATTTTAAGAAAAAAGACTTGCAAAATATATCTAAATAAATGAAATAGGACTAAAATCAGTAAGCTTAAATTTTATTTTCACTGTTACCATGGAAACTGTATTGCCGAATAGAATAAGGTGTTTCACGCTTAGCTGAAAGACAAAAATATACTATTATCAAGTTACGTGATAAAAATACTTTTTTTTATATCTTTTGAAATATATAGATCTATCACAATATCTATGTCTCTTAATTAAGAAAATTTTCCGTACAATTCTTTTATTTAAATAATAAAATATAGAAATTGGGCATGTAAGTAGATCTAATAGGCATTAAGCATTAAGACGTACGTGGACTGCATTTCCTGGCAATGACAAACAAAGATAAAAAGGACTCGTATGTTTAAGTAAAAAGTTTTAAAACATAGTCCTCCTTACATTTTATGAATTACAATTAGATCTATATCTAGATCTATATCTACATCTAGCATTTTAGAACATTAAGAAATAGTGCACATAGATTCTAGAGTTCCAGATCAATAATCTAGAATAGTACAGGGCTTAAAGTTAAAGAAAGTAGATCTACTACACTACTACTTTAAGAAGACTTAAATTAAATTGGTAATCTATCGTTTTAGGTACGTAAAATCGCCCGCGACTAGTAATGTGAAAAACAGGTGACTCCTTACATTTTAATAATTATTTCACATTTTGAGGAGGATTTATGTTTTGAAAAATACAAAAATGTTTCCTTGTTTCATTTATGTACCTGTTTTTAAACAATTAAATTAACAAACATATCACAATATGAGAATATACTTCTATTACAGCCTTGACAATGAGGTAACATTTTCGTACATTAATAGCCGCGGGCGATTTTACGTACCCAAAACGATAGATTACCCTTAAATTAATAAAATTATTAATTTTTTAAGCTAATTAATTAAAAAAAATTATTAAAATTTTAAAATATCATTTATCTATATTAAATAAATATAATTTAATTAAATATTAAAATACGTGACTACTCACTCTTACTGTCAATAATTAGTATTATAATTAGTCAGTAACCTAGTTTAGGGTAATCTATCGTTTTGGGTATGTAAAATCGCCCGCGGCTATTAATGTACGAAAACCTTACCTCATTGTCAAGGCTTTAAAAGAAGTTAATTGTTATATATTTGTGTCAAATATTATAGATAAATGAATAATAAACCTAAATCAATGGCTAAATATATCGATATAGGCCAGAAATTAACTTTAAACAGCAGTGTCTGAGAGCAAGATTTGCTATATAAACAGCAGCCATTTGTAAAATAGAGTGGCTTCCCCCTGAATCTGCGCTATAAGCTTATAAAAATAAAACTTAAACAAGATGGCTGCTATAGTAAATAAGCATGGTTGCATCTGTTGGAAACATCGCTAGTCTTCATTTATTACGGAAAAGTTTTAATTCAACCGTTTAAAAACGGGTACATAAATGAAACAAGGAAACATTTTTGTATTTTAAAAAACATAAATCCTCCTCAAAATGTGAAATAATTATTAAAATTTAAGGAGTCACCTGTTTTTCACATTACTAGTCTCGGGCGATTTTACGTACCCAAAACGATAGATTACCCTAGTTACTAGTCAATACTAGACCTAGATTGTCCTAGAACTAGATCTAGAACTCATTTAACACTTAACGACTTTCACTTTAGTACTTTACAGTCCAAAAAAAGAGACATTCATTTAAAAATATTTTAAAGATGATAGATTATTGAACCTTGATAAAAATTAATTAAAATTTTTTGTCGACCTCTATCTACTACTAGATCTAGTACTAGCTAGTAGCTAGACTCTAAGATCTAGATATAGTAGATCCAAATTCCAGAACTAAGTCGATTCTAATACTAAGTTATTAAATTTTCAATGTTTTTTGTGTGTGTAGAATGGCTTGGGAGGGTGTTCTTAGAATTTGAAATATCCTACATTAATAAATATATGTGTATTATCATTATGAGTTATAATTATTAACATAATACATAATTGTTTTGGATTATTTAAAAAAAATAACAGGTATATAAAATATTTTATCATTTAGTACCTTAGCACAAAATGGGAGATACAGAAGAAAATGCTGCTCAAGAAGAAAAAGCACCTGATGCACCTGTAAAGGAGAATGCATGCAAAAGAATTATTGGAAGTATGCTTTGTTGAATGTCGTATATATTTTATTTTTCATTGAATTAATTTTATTCAAATTATGTCATTAAATTACGATTATACAAAATGACTGCAAAGTAGGTTTATAGCTACTGTGTTGCAGTGCAGCCATGCAGCTTCAAGGGAATGCTATCAGGACTCCTTTCTATTTTGTTCTATAATATATACACATAAATACATAAGCCTACATATATATATATATATATATGTATATATATATATTGCATTTTTTAGCTATATGGAACACTAGGTTCACATCTGATGTAAAAGAGGACCAAGAATTGCTTGTACAACGAACATTTCGAGAGCTTATCATTTACCTGTTATTTCTGACATTTGTTTGCATAAGTGAGTTTTAATTTTTTTTTCATCACTTAGATCTATAACATAAAATAAAATTGAAAGAAGAGCTAAAAATTAATTTTGCGTTCTACATGTGTTATAACTGTACCATTTAAAATAAAAAGCGGATTTTCTGGTTCGAATTTGAATATCCTGAAATTATCATTCTGTTTTTTTAACGGTGATATGAAAAATATTAAATAAATGATTTCTGAAATGTATTAAAGAGCTAGCAAGATAAAGTGCAAAACCTAACAACTGCTTTTTGTAACTGTATGCTACATTTCAAACATAAGCTAATAGATATGTTTTGTCTGGTGAGTTTAAGGTTAGGGTTGTATCATTAAAAAGTATATTTACATAACTAATGGAAAATGAGCTAGCTATTTCTCTCTCCTCTAGTTGCATTTGGCATGTCAACTACAAATATGTACTACTACACCAAAGTGATGATGGACCTGTTTGTTGATACCAAGTCTGCTGACGGTGTTTCATTTAGTAGTATCACCAGCGTTGATGAGTTTTGGAAGGTAATTTAGGCTTGTAGATCCTAGTATAACAGGGTGGAATTGCTATTGTTGCAAGATAAGCTGGGCCTAAAGAAAGATGTTTATATTAGTTAGGGGATTGAGTACTACACAATGACTTGATTGCAGGCTGGAATTGTTACTTTAGCATGTTAGTTCTGTCAACATGCTCGAAGCTACTATGTTACAAATTAACATTGTTGTGTTTTACAGTTTTAAAACTTTTAACTATTTACTGTTTGCACATTAAAATGTCAAACAAAATAAAAACTTGTTTGTATTACTCAAATAGTTAGAATATTTACTCTTATTAATGTTGAACCAGTATGCCAAAGGCCCCCTAATGGATGGTCTGTACTGGGACAAATGGTATAATGGGGACCCTCTACCAGCCAGCGCATCGGGTTATATTTATTATGAGAATAAACTCCTGGGTGTTCCTCGTCTTCGGCAATTACGAGTTAGCACAAATTCATGCACTGTCAATGAAGAGTTTGAAACTTTCATCACTGATTGTTATGCCATGTATAGCAAGGATGACGAGGACCAGCAGCCATTTGGAAGATATGCTCAAGAACCTAATGAAACTGCGTAGGGATTTTTTCACTTAGTGGTTGCTGTTCCAATTTTTTACTTCATTTTTGTAAATTCAAACTGTTAAATGTTTGGTGGTTTTAAGCTTTGGTGGTTTTAAGCTTTGGTGGTTTTAAGCTTTGGTGGTTTTAAGCTTTGGTGGTTTTAAGCTTTGGTGGTTTTTTCTAAATTGAAGTCCTGGAAGTTGTGTTAGTTTTTTTAAAAAGAATTCACATCTTGAGTTTCCTGGAAATGTACTCTTAATTTTAAAAACAGTAATCATGTTAAATTGCGGTAAAATTTTGTGTAAAAGACTTTCTATTAAAATGATAGCTATGTCATATAACTAGATCTTTATTGAAACATGAATTTTATTTATATGCAGCTTGTATAAATTCTGTTATTGCATTAGTTTAACGGTGAGGATCTAGCTTACAGCTTCATAAATTTAAAAAACATCATTTGTGTTGTAGAGACTGATTTTCTGTCTGGTATGTTTTTGTTTAGGTGGATCTACAAAACTCAAGAGGAGCTGGAAGGATTCTTCTATTGGGGAAAGATCCACATGTACAGCGGGGCCGGCTATGTCAAGGATCTTCACAACACTAAAGAGCAGTCAGCACAGGATATCAAAGATCTGGAGGACAAGCTTTGGATTCAGAGAGGAACCAGGGCGGTTTTTATAGCCTTCACAGTCTACAATGCAAACATCAATCTCTTTTCTGTCATTACGTAAGCTCATAGTTGTCAGAAACTATTGTATAAATAGTGTCCATTATCTAGCCATCTGTAACTAATATCAAATCAAATTTATCATATTTACTTGTAGCATCATAAAGCATAGATCTGGTGGGGAGGGGGTGTGGACCATCCAGTCACAAGTAAAATGAAAAGCTGCTGAAAAGTCTGCTTATTTCAACTCATTTAAAAACGTACTAAAATTACCTACATTCATAGACAGCTCTGGTATGGTAGTGACACAGAATTGACTCTAGTTTCACATCACTAGATGTCATTTTTTTTCTTTAACCGGTCTGTTTGTAATGAATGTTAAATAAAAAATTATTTTAATTTTTTAATTTTGAAGACCAACCCGAATAACTATAAACTTTAAGAATATTTAATGCAGCACTACTGCTAAATTTGCAACACTTTTTGACGGGGAAAATATGCGATAAGGTGGTTTAATATTTTTATGATTTGGTTAAAGTTAAGCCTTATAATTTTTTATTTTGATAAAATTTAATGTATTTATTTCAATAGACACATTTCCCCTGCATAACATGCATTACAAATGTGCTGATAGCTAAAATAAAACAAATATATACACAACACTGTTTTAGTAATCTATAGATGGCCTCATATAGTTAGTGGTAATGAGTGGGTGTGACACCATGGGTTATGTCAGCTGATCTAGTGATGCCTGTTTGTATAAGTTTTAATATTCACAGAAATGAACAAATATTTTATACACGTTACATATTTATGTCATGAAATGATAGCTTCTGCTTTGTCAAATTTTTAGACTGCTAGTTGAGTTTCCTGCTACTGGAGGAGCCATTCCGTCTTGGAGTTTTAACACAGTGAAGCTCATACGCTATGTCAACAGTTTTGACAATTTTATCTTTGGATGTGAAGTGATATTTATTGTCTTTGTTGTGTACTACATCATTGAAGAGATTTTGGAGGTGAGATTTACTATTAACAATACTGGTTTGTTGTTTAATTAAATATTCTCGTAATGGCAAATGACTGGATTTTTTTGCAATTTGTTAGTCTGTGAGATTAAAACACTGTGAAGTTGTTGTATTCATAACTGTTGATAAAAAAAGCTTTGAGGTTAACACTTTACTTTTACATTAAAAATATTAAATATCAACTGCAAATATTTTTTTTAAGCAGTGAATTGCAGATTAAAGATCATGACCATTTGAAGAAATATGTTCGGGATATGTTGGAGACCATACTGAACCCTTACTTTTTGCCACCTTTTTTTCCACCAGCAGGTTGATCTGCATTTTTTACAGCAGACGCCTCATTCTGGTTCTTTGTTTCATTTCCTTTGCAGGAGCTCGTTTCATATTTCCACCATTATGCCCAGACATTTTTTTATATCATTTGCCAGTTTGGCTAATAGATCTAGTTTAAAAAAATTGATACAGAAAAGTGATTTTTCCATTATCTTTTTGCTTCAACAGATCAGCTTCACTGGGTACCGGTACTTCCTGGACTTCTGGAACATTCTGGATGTTGTTCTGTTGCTGGTAGCCGCAGTGTGTATCACGTTTAATATCTATAGATCCACAACCATCTCCTCCAAGTTAGAAGCACTTTTACAAGATCCGTTGAAGTATGCAGCGTTTGAGAACCTGGGATTCTGGGAAGTCAGGTTTAACAACTCTGTGGCCATAACTGTGTTTATTGCTTGGGTAAAGGTAGGTAACTCTACTAACATTGTTTTTACACCATTTTTGTTACTTTCAGTTATAATTACTCCAAAAATATGAGGTTAGAATCAATTTTTTTTGTATTATTAGCTTATTCATCTCTAATAGTGAAAGGCAGACATACCGAAATTGAGAAATCCTTGTTTAAAACTAGGTTTGGGTAATGACATGGTTGGTTCAATTTAATTTGGAATAATTGAACCAGGTTTATTTTATTTTGGGTAATTCCAATACTTTCAAGAGTTTGTGCATTTTTAACCTAGATGTTTTGTTTTAAGTTTATTGGCTGAATAATTGTCTGTATTTCATTATATATACATGACTGATCCTTAATGCCCCATTTTTGTGCTTCAGGTATTCAAGTACATCAGTTTTAACAAGACCATGACCCAGCTATCTACGACACTGAGTCGCTGCGCTAAAGATCTGCTGGGGTTCTTCATCATGTTTTTTATAGTTTTCTTAGCCTTCACGCAGCTGGGATATCTTTTGTTTGGAACTCAAGTCAATGATTTTAGTACTTTCATGAACTCATTGTAAGTTGTAGTAGCTAACCTTGTTGCTGTCTCATTTCTGGTTTTAAACTTGATCCACTTTTTTTAAACAAAGAAAAAATTAATAACAGGTTACTACAGAATAATTATTTCCTTATTTTTTAAAAATTGATAGAAGGTGCACATTTTCAACATAGTAATTGGATTTTTTAAATTTGAAAATTCCTAATAATTTGATACAAAATGTTTGGTGCCTATTATTTTACAAGTTGTTACATTTTATTAGTTGAACACTGTTTTCAACTGCTTCCAGTGACACTGTCTACATACTGTTTCTGTACTGTTTCTAGTGACACTGTCTACACACTGTTTCTGTACTGTTTCCAGTGACACTGTCTACATACTGTTTCTGTTTACTCCGACAGTTTCACCCTGTTCCGGATCATCTTGGGTGACTTTGACTTCCACCAGCTGGAGCAAGCCAACCGTATCCTGGGCCCCATCTTCTTCATGCTGTTTGTCTTCTTTGTATTCTTCGTCCTCATCAACATGTTTCTGGCCATCATCAACGACACATACTCCGAGGTCAAGTCAGACATGGCCAAGCAAAGTGACCAATTCATTATGTCCGATTATATAAAACAGGTGATGCTTAAAATAATAATTTAAAGTATGTCATTTTTTTCTGTTAACGAAGGCATAAGGCCTAATTAGTGAAAAGAAATTGTCAAATTTATCCCAACTTTATCTGACTAGTTATCAAAACAAATTAAAATATATAATTAATAAATTGTTTTTACCTCCCCTTTCTTCTTCTTGATCAGGGCTATCAAAAGCTGTTTAGCAGGTTTGGAGGTAAAAAAGAGAAAATAGAAGGCTATGAGAAAATACTGACTGGGGAATTATCTGGGAAGACTATGCACTTTGAAGAATGGAAGAAAGAGCTTATAAAGTAAGTATATTTATTATGCTAATCAATTCTTAGCTTGCTAGATATAATTAGTTCTTTAAATAAAGAGATAAAAATTACATTAAGATAAAAGGCAGAGATTTTGTCCCCCAGGAATGGCTATGAGGAGGAGGAAATAGAAGAAGTATTTGCCAAGTATGACATAGATGGAGATCAAATCCTGGACCATGTAGAACAAGCCAAGATGCTGGAAGAGTTACAGAAAGCTAAGGTCAATAAACTCATTTGTCTTGTAGAGTCATTATACATTTTCAAAGAATCAAGTTGTTTCAGGAAATTAAAAAACTATTGAAGTAATTTTTTTTCAAATCTCCAGGCTATGTTAGAGTCGGGTAAGAATAAAGATCCAACTCACGCGTTTGATGAAGTACAAGGAGATGACAGTGATGAAGAGAAGGAAGGTAGAGCAGGGAAGGGAGATCTAATCCCTGCTGAGGAGTTTATGGTGAGCACCTAATTGTTTTCATTCTTTGTTGAGTGTGAGCATATATGCTCTCATTCTTTGTGAATGGTGAGCACCTAATTGTTTTCATTCTTTGTTGAGTGTGAGCATATATGCTCTCATTATTTGTGAATGGTGAGCACCTAATTGTTTTCATTATTTGTTGAGTGTGAGCATATATGCTCTCATTTTTTGTGAATGATGAGCACCTAATTGTTTTCATTCTTTGTTGAGTGTGAGCGTATATGCTCTCATTTTTTGTGAATGGTGAGCAACTAATTGTTTTCATTCTTTGTTCAGTGTGAGCATATATGCTCTCATTTTTTGTGAATGGTGAGCACCTAATTGTTTTCATTCTTTGTTGAGTGTGAGCATATAAGTTCTCATTTTTTGTGAATGGTGAGCACCTAATTGTTTTCATTCTTTGTGAACAATGAGCATATTTGTTCTCATTCTTTGTGTACAATGAGCATATTTGTTCTCATTCTTTGTGTATGGTGAACATATTTGTTCTCATTCTTTGTGTGTGGGGAGCATATTTGTTCTCATTCTTTATGTATGGTGAGCATATTTGTTCTCATTCTTTATGTATGGTGAGCATATTTGTTCTCATTCTTTGTGTATGGTGAGCATATTTGTTCTCATTCTTTGTGTATGGTGAGCAAATTTCTTCTCATTCTTTGTGTATGGGGAGCATATTTCTTCTCATTCTTTGTGTACAGTGAGCATATTTGTTCTCATTCTTTGTGTATGGGGAGCATATTTCTTCTCATTCTTTGTGTACAGTGAGCATATTTGTTCTCATTCTTTGTGTATGGGGAGCATATTTCTTCTCATTCTTTGTGTATGGTGATCATATTTCTTCTCATTCTTTGTGTATTGTGAGCATATTTGTTCTCATTCTTTTTGTATTGTGAGCATATTTGTTCTCATTTGTTTTGTGTACAATGAGCATATTTGTTCTCATTCTTTGTGTACAGTGAGCATATTTGTTCTCATTCTTTGTGTACAGTGAGCTTGTTTGTTCTTATTCTTCATTATTTCACATTCTTATTTGATGGTTTTGATTGATTTGATATTGAACACGGAAATAATAAATCTCCAGGCCCTGGTTCGTCGTGTAGACAGAATGGAATCCACTCTGAAGGGAATGATCACCAACATTGACTCAGTTCTGTCTAGTCTAGCAGGCAGGGGATAGGTAAGCTGGTGCTACATTTACAGGTGTCATTTGATCAACTGTTGCAGGTGACATTTGATCAACTGTTGCAGGTGTCATTTGATCAACTGTTGCAGGTGTCATTTGATCAACTGTTGTAGGTGTCATTTGATCAACTGTTGCAGGTGTCATTTGATCAACAGTTACAGGTGTCATTTGATCAACTGTTGCTTAGATCACCAACAACATATCAGCAAATCTTGTGTAATAGGTTCATGGCTTAATGTTGGTTTGTATTCCCAGCAACCAAGTCATTCCCCCCCCCCCCCGCCCCCCACAGTGTAGTGAGATTCTCAATAATCAAGTCATTTCCTCCTTTCACTGATGTGTGTTAATTTATTATCAAAGTTCAATTCATATGACTTGGGATAACTTTTGTTTATTGTCAAAGTTCAACTCTTATGACTCGGGATAACTTTTGTTTATTGTCAAAGTTCAACTCTTATGACTCGGGATAACTTTTGTTTATTGTCAAAGTTCAACTCATATTACCTTGGATAACTTTTGTTTATTGTCAAGCTAAGAGTTAAATGACTTAACATTACTGTGAAGGTAGATAATCAACACTGAATGCTGGGTAAATCACTGGGCAACACTCATGTTTACCTTTTTTTCTTCTTCACAGGTCAGACATTGTTGTGAAGATGTTGATGTTTTATTTATAATTTACGTGTTTTGAAACATTCATTGTATTATGTGGTAAAGTTTTTATTGATTTTTTTTTAAATTAAAAATTCCGTTTTTTAAGATTAATGTGTATATTTTGTATTAAAAAAATAAACTAAGGAATACAGTTGAAGTTATGCTAATACATAATTGATTTTAATTTTTGTCTTTTAATTCTAACAAATAATTGCTGATTTTCTGGTTAAAAATTATATAAAGTTTTATCTCACATGGATTAAATTCTGAACAATCAGTCTTTTGTTTTGTTAAGCATGAACAAGTGTGAACGTTTAAAAATCTAAATAGGCCCTATCAGTTTTGTGTTTTCTCTACCTGTGTTCAAGCTGAGTTGTTGAGAAAAATGAGATGAAACTACTAAAAACTTGTAACACACCTTCGATTTTTATTCCGTGTAAATGAGAAGAGTGTCCATGATAAAACGTTTTTTAAAGTGCTTGAACTTCACACAATTATTCTATTGCTTACCAGTTGAAAACTCCTTCCTGATTATCGTAAGATTTAAATATGTAGATTATGCTGCAAAATAAATTAGGAAACGTAACTATAATCTATAGGAATATTCCGTTTTTCTTTTTTTTGGTGATTACCTCCCCTACACATGGACATTTTCCTCCTCTGTGAACGATATGAATGCTTTCCTGCAACGCCCATTTCATTGAAACCAAAGAGAGTCACATGTATCTGTATCAACTTTCAAAAACTATATATAGATACTTCTAGCACGTTTCTAGGATCTAACAATGGCATTTCAACCGAATTAAAAAAAACTTTAGACACATCTATCAACTTCCTAAAGCTAAACAAAAATGTAAACATGATTGATTTTAGGACCTAAAGGGCGCAAACTCTTATGGATAAAAAAAAGAGAAAATCCTGTCGATATAAATGAAATGTATAAAACAAATTACATGACACCGTAACAATAACTACTATAGAAAGCATGAATCACTCTTTTTACACAAATAAAAGTAATGCTCATAATAGCGAAAGGGAGGGGGGGGGTGGAAACAAGGAACTCAAGCAGTGAATTCCCGTTGTTAGTTTCACTATCACACGTGGATATTGAGTCAGAAGCAGAGCTTACGGTAGATGCAGTAAGTTATCCGCCTTATGGGAAATCCCCACAAATTCACCGTAACATTCCGCACTTAACTTAAGACGCTTTAAGCAGATAGAATGACAAATAAATAAAGCTGGCATTATCGAAACTGATCACCTGAGAGATATTTAACGTTTTTATAGCTACTGGATTGCATTATCAAGTTAATATGGCAAAAAAAATATATCAACCACGGTACAACCTCCCACCGAAAAAAAACCCGAGCAAAGCTAATCCAACTTAAGTCATACCATAATCCTAATTTAGGCCTACTATCTCCTAACTTCATCCTTACTTTAAGCCTACTATCTCCCAACTTTATCCTTACTTTAAGACTTTAAGCCAACTATCGCCCAACCTACCCCTACTATAACCCTACTTTAACCCTATTATACCCTACTATACATCAACTTTAGTCCTACCATATCCTTTCCATAACCTTACCATAGACTTTCTAAAGCCCTGTTACAATCGTACTGCAGCCCTCTTTAATCTTTATGTTCACATGTTTAGAACTATGTTGATATATTTAAGAGGAAAATCAAATTAAAAAACAAAAATTAAACCAATAATAAATAACGTTATTTTGCAAAAAAAAAGAAATTGGAACTATTTTCTTCAAAAATAAAAATATAAGAATTCTGAATTTTATATATATATATATATATATATATATATATATATATATATATATATATATATATATATATATATATATATATATATATATATATATATAAAACATATCTAAAACACAATATACTTTTAAAAGATGACTTGATTTTATTAAGTTATAAGTCTAAACTTATACACTTATAGCTTGCTGTGGCCTCTATTAGTTGCATATTGAGGTCCAATCATCTATACACTTGCTAGAGATAGTCCAGGATTCATTACAGGTGTGGCTGCTTATTTAATCAGGCCCGTCTTCTTTCATCTGTGCCGCTGACGTTGACGCCAGTTCTGACGCCAGTTCTGACGCCGACTGTGCCGCTGACGTTGACGCCAGTTTTGACTGTGCCTTCGCTTGAAGCATCACACGTGCCGCCGACGTTGACGCCAGTTTTTCCGCCGACTGTGCCCTCGCTTGAAGCATCACACGTGCCGCTGACGTTGACGCCAGTTTTGACTGTGCCTTCGCTTGAAGCATCACACGTGCCGCCGACATTGACGCCAGTTTTGACTGTGCCTTCGCTTGAAGCATCAAACGTGCAGCCGACATTGACGCCAGTTTTGACTGTGCCTTCGCTTGAAGCATCAAACGTGCAGCCGACATTGACGCCAGTTTTGACTGTGCCCTCGCTTGAAGCATCACACGTGCCGGCGACATTGACGCCAGTTTTGACTGTGCCCTCGCTTGAAGCATCACACGTGCCGGCGACATTGACGCCATTTTTGACTGTGCCATTGCTTGAAGCATCACACGTCCCCGCCTACGCAGTCTCCACCGGCGACTCTTGCCATTGTACACCACCTCTGTAAGGGTGAGGGTCATGTATCGTCTCAAATACAAAACTACTCTCATAACGAAGCTTAAGTTTTTATATGGATACATGTATATTGTTACACTCGGCTTTCTAATTATTTTTGACTCGTTTGGGGCCAGGTGTAACACTATTAAAGAACACAATTCACAAAGTGAATTTGTTACATTGAAGTATAATTTTCACCAACTAAAACAAACATTGACACGAAGAAAAAACTGACAACTAGATACACTGTGTTGGCGCTACCCACACTGCTTACACACTACTAATCCGTGCCTACACACTTTCGTATAGACATCTACGTCAACCCCCCCCCCCCCCCCACCACTATTCACGTACAAACAATTCAATTCAATGAAAAGATCAACAGTTTACTGTAAAGTGAATGGCGGAGTTTCCTAGAGACAACATGTCGTCTAAGAACTGACGCGCAGGTTTTTTTAGTTGTTTTTTCCCCGTGTTCCTTCTCTGGTTTTGTCTGTAGAATAAAGGACAACAACAGTACTGTTAATTGATAAGGTTAACGAGTTAGACTTTAAGTTAAAACAAAATTAATTTGATGATGATAGTGGTATTCTGCGTGTCTCTCAAACAACTAGAATCATTCTAATTTTTGTTTTTAAAATATCTTTTTTTTTGGAATATTATTAAGAGGGGTATTACAATTTTTTTGTGTGTGTTAAATAATTTAGACGAATGTAAGTGGGGTATGAAAATAATCATATTTTAGTGGACGTCGTAAATGGATGACATTTTATGCATTACAAAATTATTGTAATACACTACAATAAGTAGCGTGCATTGATGGTTTGTATGTAAATGAAAATAGATGCTTGATTTAAAAAAAAATTGTGAGCTTTGTTTATTAAGTGTAAGTGTGCAAAAGTCAAACCTAATATAAAGATTTAACGAGACAAACCAATTTTAATGTGACAACTTTGTACCCCAACTTACTCGGCTGATTATCAATTGTTCCAGACTCCGGACTTTCAATTCTATACATCCTAGTAGAAATAAAAAGCAACATTAATAATTTAAAACTACCATGCTGAAACAAATATAAAAACACGTGAACACACTTAAGTAAACTTCTAAGCACACTCGCACAGACTAATCCTCAGACAACCGCCAAGCCAAATACATTCAAGCTCGTTAAAAAACTTGCCTAATGATTTTACGATCTTTGCCAGAATCGTACCTACGAATACAAAAATAAAACATACAAATATTAAACAGGAACATTTGTAGCCGTGTGCTGTTGTGTGTAGGTCTTTCCGTGTGCTGATGTAGGTGTTTGTTAGTGATAACGTGTGTATGTATTTGCCAGTGTGTACGTGTTTACGTGTGTGTAGGCGTGTGTGGTTGCTGGTGTGTACGTGTTTTTGTATGTCAACGGACCCAAGTCCATTTGTGATGATGTGTAGGTCTCACTGGATCCCGATAGGCGTACATGTTCAGGTGTGCTGATGTGTACATGTTCAGGTGTGCTGATGTGTACATGTTCAGGTGTGCTGATGTGTACATGTTCAGGTCTGCTGATGTGTACATGTTCAGGTGTGCTGATGTGTACATGTTCAGGTGCGCTGATGTGTACATGTTCAGGTGCGCTGATGTGTACATGTTCAGGTGTGCTGATGTGTACATGTTCAGGTGTGCTGATGTGTACATGTTCAGGTGTGCTGATGTGTACATGTTCAGGTGTGCTGATGTGTACATGTTCAGGTGCGCTGATGTGTACATGTTCAGGTGCGCTGATGTGTACATGTTCAGGTGTGCTGATGTGTACATGTTCAGGTGTGCTGATGTGTACATGTTCAGGTGTGCTGATGTGTACATGTTCAGGTGTGCTGATGTGTACATGTTCAGGTGTGCTGATGTGTACATGTTCAGGTGCGCTGATGTGTACATGTTCAGGTGTGCTGATGTGTACATGTTCAGGTGTGCTGATGTGTACATGTTCAGGTGAGCTGATGTGTACATGTTCAGGTGTGCTGATGTGTACATGTTCAGGTGTGCTGATGTGTACATGTTCAGGTGTGCTGATGTGTACATGATGGTTAGGTGTGATTATGTGTGTACGTGCCCAAGTGAAGCTGTGTTTATCTGTTTAACTCAACTCACGGATTTCAACTGTCAACAGCAAGATAAAAGCAAGAATAGCACATAAAACTATTTCATACATGATCACAAGCTTCCAGCTGGGCTGTCTGAACCTGTACACATTCAAATTATATATATATATATATATATATATATATATATATATATATATATATATATATATATATATATATATATATATATATATATATATATATATATATATATATATATTAGATATATAAATTATATGCGTGATCCGTTTTCGAATGGGGCATTACCTGTATATGTTCAAATTGATAAAAGTGAATGAAGTCTAACAAATTTTAATTTTGATAATATTATATATGTTTGTCGCTTTAAAAAGTACAAGTTTTTATTATATAAAGTCATGATGCATGACTTGAAATATTATAAACGTGCTAAAATTTCAACAGTTTTAATTGACACTGTTTGGGTTGATTAAAATGACAAAATAACATTATAATACAAAATAGCATTATAATACAAAATAGCATTACAACACAAAATAGCATTACAACACAAAATAGCATCGTAATACAAAATAGCATTACAACACAAAATAATTGCAATAAAAAATAGCATTGCACGTTTAGTACACTAAATAGTAACTGCATGCTAATTTTCAATTTGAAAAAAAATCATATGTTTTTCTGATAGGCTGCACTGATCTTAAGTATAAGAAATCACCTCAAAGATGCTGTTTGAATGATTTTGTAGAAATGTCTAGACCGGCTTTGCCAGAAAACGAGCAATTCTATACAGTACAGACATTTATTTTCTTTGATAGTTGATCGATTTTTTGTATACCATAAGTGAACATTCGAAAATGCTCAGTTTGTTCTGCAGCAGTTTATGACAATAAAAGATAATTAATGCCTAGTAAGTAATTGGCTGGGCATAGTGCTGACTAAACTATCCCCTTTAACGCCAAGGTTAAAATATCCCCTCTAATGACGAGGTCATTGAAACAGATAAACTCAAGTTCTTCTACCGCATGTCTTGGACGCGAACACAAAAAGATAACGTGTTGAAATACCTTTTTATACTTAGTTCGTGGCTTTAGTGAAAGCTGTTGTAACGGATTACCTTTTCACTTTAGACAAGGGATTGTCCAGAGATCGTCTCGAACCACAGGGGACCTTGAGGCACAGTTGACCTTTGAGTCACAGTTGACCTTTAAGTCACAGTTGACCTTTGAGGCACAGTTGACCTTTGAGTCACAGTTGACCTTTAAGTCACAGTTGACCTTTGAGTCACAGTTGACCTTTAAGTCACAGTTGACCTTTGAGGCACAGTTGACCTTTGAGTCACAGTTGACCTTTAAGTCACAGTTGACCTTTGAGGCACAGTTGACCTTTGAGACACAGTTGACCTTTGAGTCACACTTGACCTTGAGGCATAGTTGACCTTGAGGTCTCACAGTTTATCTGTGAGTCACGCCTTGAGACAGAGACACTAAAAGTAACAGTAAAACTAAAGTAAACATTATCTTCGCTAAGACAAGAAAGTTAACAGAAACTTCTAACCACTTCAAGAGTGCCACGATGCTGCTTTGTTTTATTAGCCTTTAGTCAAAGAACAATTTAGTAGTTGCAAATCTCTGATAAGCTAATTTTATCCCTCGATAAAAATAATCCCTAACTGAAATCATGCAAAGTAGGTATATTTGAAAATTAAGTTTTGTTCCCAATGTTTATGTTAAAATAAAAATCCATCACACATATTTCCCATGTAACAAACTGAAAATAACAAGAACATAAGCCACCAAACGGAGCGGATCAGAAACAAAGGCTTTATAGATAGTTTTAAATTTTATATGAATGTACAAACACACAGACACATACACGTTATATGTTATTTTGTTTTGTTATTGTTTTATCGAATCGTTTCAATAGGATAGTATTGACAACTGTATAATGCTTCGTGCACTTAATGTTTGTTAACTGAATGACAAGTTTCCACGGGTCAACTAGTTCACACATTTAATTCGACTCAAACCAAAGTTGTAGAAAAGTCTTTGCATGTCTTGATGACATTGAGACTTTCCAGTACATTCTAAGCTTTAAGGCGGCTATGTTGGACATTCATGAGAGTCAGCGTACGCGTTTTTTTCCCTACAGATACGCTCTGACATAGTTTCTATTATTCTTGGTTAACAGGGTCGTTCGTTTAACGGAGCGTTCGTTGACCGAATACAATTGTATAAACATTGTGTAACATGCATATTTTGAAACCAGTTGAAGCAGATGCATACATACATTTTTAAACAGACACATACGATGTTATTTTGTTATGTTGTTCTTTTTTATCTGACCGGACTGGAGATATACTTAGTATAGTAGGTGTGATCAAAGGGGTCGGCGTTTTATAAGCGCTGAGTGTAATTTTGACATGAGTGTGTTTACTGTATAATTTATAGAGTATTAGATCTACATCTAATTTTCTATTCTATAGATAGTTAAAGATACGAGTAGATCAGAGATCTAGAGAGATCTAGAATCTAGATCTAGAAATCTAGATCTAGATCTAGATCTACTCCATTGGTATTCCACTAAGTTACGTTTTGAAAATAGTATTTGTACAACAAGATAATGCTCCAGAGTAGATCTAGATTAAATAATGGGTTTCAACTCACCCTAATCTAATGCTGTAGGACCAATTTTTTAAAAGAATGATTGTTTTTTTTTTAAATATAGAATAATTTGATGTTTCAATCAACTGGTTTTTCTATTCTTGCGTATTCTACCAAGTTCACTTCCGCCCAGTTTGTTTTTAAAAAAAATATGAGTGAGCACTTTATGGTGTGCTACTTCTTATGAAAGCTTGAGAATTGTCCTGTGGTGTGCATTTTATGGTGTGCTGCTTTCTTAAAGAATCTTGAGTGTTGTCCTATCTAGATCCTAAGTAAAAGTTATTTACGAGGTTGATTCTTTGCATGGGAGAGAAGAAGATAAATCGCCATTGAAGGGAAGAAAACTAACCCCAAGAGACGATTAATTAGTTTAGCCTATAGACCACTACCTAGTTTAGCCTATAGACCACTATAGACCACTACCTAGTTTAGCCTATAGACCACTACCTAGTTTAGCCAATAGACCACTATAGACCACTACCTAGTTTAGCCTATAGACCACTACCTAGTTTAGCCAATAGACCACTATAGACCACTACCTAGTTTAGCCTAAAGACCACTACCTAGTTTAGCCAATAGACCACTATAGACCACTACCTAGTTTAGCCTATAGACCACTACCTAGTTTAGCCAATAGACCACTATAGACCACTACCTAGTTTAGCCTAAAGACCACTACCTAGTTTAGCCTAAAGACCACTACCTAGTTTAGCCCATAGATCACTACGTAGTTTAGCCAATAGACCACTATAGACCACTACCTAGTTTAGCCTAAACACCACTACCTAGTTTAACCTAAACACCACTACCTAGTTTAGCCTATAGACCACTACCTAGTTTAGCCTGAAGACCACTACCTAGTTTAGCCTAAAGACCACTACCTAGTTTAGCCTGAAGACCACTACCTAGTTTAGCCTAAAGACCACTACCTAGTTTAGCCTGAAGACCACTACCTAGTTTAGCCTAAAGACCACTACCTAGTTTAGCCTGAAGACCACTACCTAGTTTAGCCTAAAGACCACTACCTAGTTTAGCCTAAAGACCACTACCTAGTTTAGACTAAAGACCACTACCTAGTTTAGCCTAAAGACCACTACCTAGTTTAGCCTAAAGACCACTACCTAGTTTAGCCTAAAGACCACTACCTAGTTTAGCCTATAGACCACTACCTAGTTTAGCCAATAGACCACTATAGACCACTACCTAGTTTAGCCTAAAGACCACTACCTAGTTTAGCCTAAAGACCACTACCTAGTTTAGCCTAAAGACCACTACCTAGTTTAGCCTAAAGACCACTACCTAGTTTAGCATATAGACCACTACCTAGTTTAGCATATAGACCACTACCTAGTTTAGCCTAAAGACCACTACCTAGTTTAGCATATAGACCACTACCTAGTTTAGCATAAAGACCACTACCTAGTTTAACAATGCACCACTATTTTATGAACTTTGGACGGCGTGGCCTAGAGATAGAGAGCTAGACTGCTAACGCGAGTTCGAATCCGGGTTCAAGTCAGCAGAACGTCAATGAGTCCACCCAGCTCTGATGGGTACCTAACTTACGTTAGGGACACAAAGGCGGCTGGGCATAATGCTGACCACACTATCATTTCATATGCCGAGGTATATGAAGCAGATTAACTCTACTTCATCTGCCCCATGCGTGTTGGGCACGAGCGGGAAATGATGATGATGACGATTTATATGAAATAGAAAGAAAAATGTAGTGATATGTGACGTCATGGAGCGGTACAGATCCCCTGTTTAAAAAGAAACAAGACGAAAAACGACATTTTTTGAAACAATTTCCGCCATTTATTTTTGATTTGGGCTTAATTTTACAACTTTCAAAGGAAAACTGCGGCTGGTAAGACTCTCCACAGTCTTGTAGGGTTGTGGTCGAGATCTAGAGGTGGGTGTGTGGGGGGGGGGGGGGGGGGGTGCACGACGACTAATTTAATTAGGTCCGTCAGATGGGGGGGGGGGGTAATTATTGTCATTTGTGATGACGTCGGCGGTACCACACCTGACGGAAACGGAGAATTCTCACTTGGATCAGGCGGAGTCGACACTCATGACTCTGACCGTGACGCCAGTCCTGACGCCACATATGCTGCGTCGCTTGATGACGGCGGCGACACCGCTGCTGACGCCAGCGGCGACGCCACTCTTTACAGCGGCGATGACGCTCTTGAAAACTTGATGTCGTGACTCTCGCCAACGGTGACACCATTCTTAATGCAGGTGAAGACGCCAATCTTGATGCGAACGGTGACGCCACTTTCGACTCCAGCGGCGACACGTTTCTTGACACCGTTGGTGACGCCGCCGTCGATACTTGGGTGTAGGCATTCTTAATGCCTCGGTGGTGCTGGTCTTCACGACAACAGTGTAACCATTCCAGATGCCGACGTGACGCCACTTCTGAAGCCGACGGTGAAGACACTCTTGACGACGCTACTATTGGCGCTTCGATGACGCCATTCTTGAAGTATCCATGACCCTGGACTTTACTAAAGCTCTGAAACAGCTTTTGTTGTTGGTGGTAAAGACTCTCTCGACGCCAAGGTGACGCTGCTCTAGGCGCCACCGGTAGCGCCAACCTCGACGCCGGCGGTGACGCATCGGTAACGCCAGTTATGAAGCCTCGTTGACGCCGGCGGCGAAGTCTATCACGACGCCGTTGGCAAAGCCAATCTTCAAATCTCATTGACGCCACGCTTGACGCCGGCGGTGACGTCACTCTGGACACATCACTGGCGCCACTTTTGACGTCTCGACGCATCCATTCCCGACGCCCGTTTTGAAGCCACTCTTGACTTCGCCGGAGACTTCGTATCTGACGCCTTTGTGACTTCGTTCTCCACGCTATCGGTGACGCCGCTCCCGACGTCGGCGGTGAAGGCTCTCGTGACGCTGTCAAATAAGACTGTCTTGACTCTTCTAACACCGGCACTGGTGGCACTGTTGTTGTTAACGGTGACGCCAAGCTTGACGCCGCTGGTGATAGCTCGAATAACTTAGGCGATGAAAGATCTAATGACGCCGAAGATGAAGACTTTAGTGACGCCGGAGGTGAAACCCGTATTGACGCCGTCGATAAAGACTCTACTGACGCCGCTTTTGACGCTCTCAGTGACGCCGCTCTTGACGCTATCGGTGACGCCGCTTTCGACGCTATCGGTAACACCGCTCCCGACGCTGGCGGGGAAGGATCTAGTGACGCTGTCAAATAAGACTGTCTTGACGCTTCTGACGCCGGCAATGGTGACTCTCTTGTTGCTATCGGTGACGACAGTCTTGACGCCAACGGTAATAGCTCTGACGACTCCGTAGATGAAAACTCAGATGACGCCGTAGATGAAAGCTCTAGTGACGCCGTCGACAAAGACTCTGATGACGCTTCTGACGCAGGCGTCGCTTGTGGCACCGGTGGAAATCTTTGCTGGTTCCGCCTCCGCCTGCAGAACACACCTGTATAGACGAAGAGGATTTGAGTGTTCAAAACACATGTACAGATGTTTGCTATGCTGGAACTAGAACAGTAATTACGTTTTGTAGCATGTACAATTAAGCTTAATAAAATAAGTCTTGGACAAATATAGTAGGAATCAATATATGTGGGCTAATAATTTAGCCCACATATATTGGGCGTCAAAATAACGTGAGCCAAAAGTCAGAAGTCAAAATGTTATGGGCATTTAGGTCAGAGTTCAAAATGTTATGGGCATTTAGGTCAGAGGTCAAAATGTAGTGGGCATTTATCGAAAGGCTGTAACCTACCATATGGTCGATCAATGCTTAAGGAAGAAAACGATCGCAAATTTTAAATCACGTGTAGGACACAGTTATACTAAACTAGATTGAAAAAAAAATCAGCATAAATATTTTAAGTTTAAGTCAGAATTGTCTGCAGTATTTGGGACTGTACTCGGCACGCTCATTCCGCCTTCGATTTCGCGGTACAAGGATGTGCCATACGTCACAACTAACGTTCGAATGTCTACTGGTCGTTCAAGTAAACTTGAATTAAAAAAAATTTCAGACGTTATTTAAGTCCCCCAAATGGAATAAAATCTGCCCCACCCCCACAAGTTCCGTCTATCCACTCCCATACCTCAAAAACAAACGTGAATCTGCTTAAAGCTAATTGTAAGTGTAAAGGTAAAAAACTTACAGCAACTCATCAGTAAAAGTGTGATTACAACCACTGGTAGGACGATACCATAGAGTGGATTTGTCCCGCTGTATAGGCTGCATAGAGGAGACATGATTAGTTTAATCAATCGAATTAAATAAAATAAAAACTCAGGGCGGGTTCAATTCAGTTTTGTCTCGTCTTGTGTAAATCCCAACCCAACCGAGTCTAACTTAACATTATTTAGTAAAACTCACCCTAACACAAACCAAACGAACCCAACGGTATTTAGTGTAAGTCCCCCGAACACAAACCAAACGAACCTAACGTTATTTAGTACTAGCGTCATCAATTCGTTACCAGTCTTGTAATTTTAGACGCGTGACCTTGTTATTTTAATGTAAACAAAGCAGGAGCTATATTTCTTGGACCGTAGTTGTTCGGGCGCGGGTTTGTCCATACCACCGCCTAGACGCCCCCAGGGAGTGCTGTATAAAAGCCTTGAGTGGGTCAATAACCCTTCGTAATAGCGAAATAGAATACACCTCGGCGGCCGTTTAAGTTTCAGGGGCGTCACGGGGTGCTCTCGGGAGCCACCGATTAGACTACAGCAGGGGCGCCGGGTTCGGTTTAATCATCGCAGGTAACCCGACCGGCGTCCTGATTCAATTTAGTCAAAGGTTATAGTAGTCAACTGTATCCATAGTGTATGGCACTTTTTAAAACGAACATAGGCGCCATAGACTTGGGGCGCGAAATAGCATCTTGCCGGGGCGCCTCCCTTTTTTTTCGCAGAAACCTTGCCAAGAGTAGTTTCAACAATACTCACACACACAAATACTTTCATATATATATATATATATATATATATATATATATATATATATATATATATATATATATATATATATATATATATATATATATATATATATATATATATATATATAATACCCTACCGCAAACCGGTTTAACCTAACCAAAAATGACTTACCTTCTAGATGCCAGTTCTAGCAAATTAAAATTCAAAGAAAAGTTAGCCTTGAACAACTGGAAATCAAAAGTTTCCCTGAAAGTAATGATTTTAGATGGTAGATTATAAATCAAAGACAAGTTAGCCTTTAACAAATGGAAATCAAAAGTTTCCCTGAAAGTAATTATTTTAGATAGTAGATTATAAGTCAAACACTTTTATTCCAGGTTCAAATTTAAGACATTAAAACAAACTTCTTTATTCCAGACTGTTTAGATTGAGAAGATTAAGTGAACTGAGATTAGACCTGATCTAATATTATAATAAATCTGTCTAAATCTACTGAGTAGTAGGTACCATGTATGGAAAGTTGAAGCTAATATAGAAAATCAACTTACCGGTTTGATTTCCAAGTGAACAGATGGATTTGACAGGAAAAGTCGCCCTTGAAAAAATCGATCTTTAGGCCATTTCTGGAAAACACGTTTCATGAATCAAAAGTTTTATGTGCCAGCTGAGTACAAAACTACCAAACTTACCATCGATTCTAAAGTAAGCTGATTACTGCGTTACCGAAAGGTGCTGCAAAATTAGCGTGAAAGTTTACTTAATGAAAAAATAATACTTTTAAAGTTGTTAAAATTTGGGACGCATTAAATATTGTTGAAAACAAAATTATTTATTATTTTAAAGGATAATCGATTTATATTTATATAGAAACATTTCTTTTATTTGGATGACGCTCAAATCTGAGTTGTTATTAAACGATGAAAAGAAAAAAATTAATCTCGGTTGTAATAAAATTATATGGGACGCGTACACAATTGATAAAGCGTTTGGCTGCTAGCCCAAAGGTCCCGAGTTCGGGTCTCTGTTCGGACTTGTGACTGTAGAACTTCACTGAGTCCTTCCAGCTCTAATGAGTACCTGACATACATTTGGGAAAGTAAATGCGGCAGTGCAATGTGAAGCCCACACCATCCGTTCATACTCAGATGTCAAGAAACATGAGCTCTACTCTATCTGCTCAATGGATCGCTAGGTTTGAAGAGGAAGTTTACTTTGACTTACAATTACATGCTACAAAAATATGTTATTCTGGGTTGTAATAAATAACGAAAGACATTAAAGCAGCTTACTCATGATTGGTGGTATCGGTGTTGTCGAAAGCAAACCATCTAGTCAAGGCACTCCAATAATCTTGCACTGGTTCCTCGCTCAACTCCACTGTAAACAGTTTCATTTGTTAGTTTCTTTGTTGCTTTGTTACACTGAGTACTACCGCAAAACTTAATTACACATTGTCAACAAAATGTAAACACTATATGTGTACTACATACGCTGATATACACATACATGTGTAGATAAGTACATATACAAATAAACACTAAGAATCAATATGCATACACACATAATTGAAATGTCTTACTGTTTAAATTAAGCAATATCGTAAACAAAATTAGAGTCTGACGTAGATTTGTGGTCCAATAGATTTATGGTCCAATAGATTTGTAGTCCAATAGATTTGTGGTTCAATAGATTTGTGGTCCAATAGATTTGTGGTCCAGTAGATTTGTGGTTCAATAGATTTGTGGTCCAGTAGATTTGTGGTCCAATCTCAGCCTTTCATGAAGATATTTATGTGGCTTTTACATTCTTTGGGTCAGTATATGAAAGGTAACTTACTTTTAACAGAAATTAAAATCATTGGGTTACAAAAGTTAAAAAAAAATAATTTTAATATTTTAGAAATGAATGTTTTACAATTTGTAAATGCAGACATTTTGACAATTTTTGTTGTTGACCTTGGAGGCTATGTGGAAATTTTAACTCTAACTTTCACTTTAGTAAGATTGCCTGTTTCAGACCATTGTTAGTGATTTTGTCCGAGGTAGGCCTATTCGAAAATAAAATCGCATTTAGCATTTTTGTGTTGTAATACAATAAAAAACAAAGACATTAAAAACCAATACTCTAGTTTATATTTATGACCGTGAGCGTCTATCAGCTAAACATACTTTTGTTTACATTTAGATATCGACCCGTGTAAAAAACAAAAATTGTTTTTTTTTGTCTATCTAAAAAAATAAAATTGTTAATTGCACGCAAATACTAAAAACAACATCTAGGCTTAGATCTATGTCAAATCTGCAGAAAAGACACATATCTGCACAATCAAGTTTTTATAAACAAATCCAGTTAAATTTTATGTTTAAAAACTTTTCAAGGCCGAGACTGTGGGATTAGTCCACACAAAAAAACTTTTACATCTAACTACTTAGATCTAGTCTACATCTATTTTCCAAGCAATCCAAAAATCTTATATGCACGTTAAAATCCTGCTGCCTTACCAAACACAGCTGGGTTGTATGCAGTAATAATCAGCAGGGTGAGCCAAGCTTTCCACATCAAGCCAGCTATGGCAAGGTTTGGCGGTAAAGTTCCCTTTTTCAAACCTGACGGTCTATAGGGGTAGTCTTGTATGAATGGTGTATAAGTATAAATTTGTAAAAAAACAAAACAACTTTCTGTAGATATTTCAAGATCGTGATTAACTCTAGATTAAGGAGTGATCGCTAAAAAACAAAACAATCTGTTTTATTCTCACTAATACTTCCTGTATGACGTCACACAACCCTAGAGTACTGTGTGACTTTGATTATGTTTCATAAAGTGGATATTCCCTTTTCATGCGAAGCTTTTAAAACAAGTTAATTAAAAAAGTCTAGTGACATTTATGCGCAATTTCCTTATGTTATCTAAAAATAGCTCTGACGTATAATGATGGGGTGCGTTCAAGCTAGAAGAAAGATCGGTTTGTAGGTGTTTATGTAATTTTAAAATTTGTGACCGAACGAGAGGATATTTTTGAAAACTTTCTTCGGCAATATTGTTCTAAATTATGGCAGGAATCGATTGGTATATGTTTCAAGTCGCTAAGTGGTCTGGTTGCCGAGATATGGGCCAAAAACTGAATTTTTTCGAGGTTTTTTGGCTTTTCCGGGAAATACACGAAAGAAACCCGGAATTTTTATGGCCTATGCTCATTCTCCTAACTTACTTAACATAATTGCTTTTGGAACTAGTCATCGATATTGCTTCGTTAAGGAGGAGATACGACTTAAAGCCCGGACACACATTCATCCATCCATCCATCCATTCCCAGAAATGACGAGTTAATAAACGCAATTCTCCAGAATGGAAATTGCGCTAAAAACAGTATTTTAACAGTTTGAAACACCATTCACGATATTTTGTGATTGCTACATATTAAAAAAAAATTTGTTTACAAAATACTTTTTCATTCTAAGTTTAAAAAAAATTAAAGAATAAAAAAATTATGTAACTTTATTTCTTGTAGTCATCCCCATAAAAACCTGTTGTCTGTCTTTCTGTTATTTCTATTGTTTTGTGTACAGAGTTTATACCAGGCATCTGTTCCGCCCCCGAACGAAATGGAATTTATATAGAAAATATATACTTTTAACAGTGTCCGTCCCCCGGAAATTTTAGTCCGCCCCCCGAAAACTTCAAGGCCCCCCCCCCCCCCCCGTGAGAAAAAAGTCTGGAAGAAACACTGTGTAAGGTCCTGTGATTTGTTACCATTAACATTTTTCAATGTGTTTAACTTGCATTACTTGAGATACAGAAACACGCATCAATTTTCTGCAACAAAACCAAAGAACTAAATAACAGAGTTAGAAATGTGTTGCTGTGTGTAACAACTCACTAAATGAGCAGGGGACTAGGAGGCGCATCTCAAAGGGCGATAACTCATGTATGGATAGAAATTATAGAACTCAGTGTTGTCTCCCTTACCGTTGATGAATTACTTCTATGATAAACTCAAAGCTCAGTGGCGTAGCGAGGTCGGGTGTCACCCGGTGCGGCACTTAATGGTGTCACCCCCCCCCCCAGAGGCGTAGCGACCCTTTGACAAACTTTCAAATTTTCGATTTGCACCCCCCCTCAAACTTTCGATTTGCATCCCCCCCTCAAGTTTTCGATTTGCACACCCCCCCTCCTCAAACTTTCGATGTGCACCCCCCCTCAAGTTTTTCTCTATATATTTTGCTATTTTTTGCCTTGGTGTCACCCCCCTAAATGGTGTCACCCGGTGCGGTCCGCACCCCCGCCCCCCCCCCCCCTCGCTACGCCCCTGTCAAAGCTAAAAGGTTGCGTTAGTATATTTTACAAATAAAGGCATTTAGGACGTTGTACGAAAGGTCAATTTGAATTGCACCAGCGAATTCCGGCGTATGGCAGGGTGTAGGGTTTCTTTTAGGATATTTTCCTCTTGGGGGGGGGGGATTTAAACTTTCGAGGGGAAGGGGGGTAGGGATGCTGACTCTGGTTAAAGTTACAAATTACTATATAAGTTATGTATTTTTTAATTTCGTGGGAGGGGGGGGGGGAAGAGTCGAAGAGATGCCCTACAGAAACTCTGGAGAGGAGGATGAATGTGAACGGAAGAGATTACACACACATTCTGGGAATTCCCGCTCACAGTTCTTCTTTGCGGCTATTGAACGTTGATAGAATGCGATCATCTCCTTTTGGGGAAATCCCCCAAAATACACCTTACATTTCCCGTAAAACAATAACGGTATGTAGATCTATGTATATCAGGTAGATAAAGCTAGCATCATCCAAACGTGCTACTTTAGTGCAGGTATATTTAACGTTTATGTACACTACTGCATTACCAAAATATACAGAGACATATTTAGACGTTTGAAAATCCCAGTCATCTGTCAACCCATGTTAGAGTCAGCAGTATAAAAATTGTTACTTTGCTTCCCAGCTAATTTATATTACGGTCTTTCCATTTAACATCTTCTTTCGGTTTATGTGTAGGCCTACTTGTATAGCCCTACCATATTGGTTTTACATTGCAATTGTTTCATGAAAAGAAAAGAAAAACAGTTTTTATATCTTCGTTGCACTCTTGTCACCACAATGATACAACTCCAAGTTTGGCTTGCAACAGAAATGAGCACGAAATCTGCTAAAAATCTACTATATTTTAACCCCTCTACCAATATTTTAACCCCCCCTACCAATATTTTAACCCTTCTTCCAACATTTTAACCCCTCTTCATATATTTTAACTCCTCTTCCAATATTTTAACGTCTGCTGGGATGTTAAACTTCTAAATATTTTTAGCCTTTTTATTCACTAACCAGTTTATATTTAATATTTATACTTCATATCTTCCAATACAATTTTTACCTAGATACTTTCTTAATATTGTGCATATCCGTGTAAGACTATGCATGAAGGCCATCTAATCTTGAAGCTGAAGTGTGTCCTTATGTCTGTAGTAGCAGGCTGGGGAGTTGTTTCAATGACCTGCACTCAAAACTCGTGGGATCTGACTGCCATGATGGCAGAAGAAGTAGAGTTAATGTTTCTATGGTAACGGTTTGTGAATGGGTGACCATCAGAGCTTAGCGGCCCCTATATACGTCCGACGAGAGAAACTCGCCTCTACATTAACATTTACGTGGCCATTTTGGTTCGTAAATCTCGAGTTCGCTAGTAGAGAAAGTCAATTTGTCAACACCTATAATTTATATTATTTGTTTTCTACTAGCTTTAATTGGTCGGATCAACAGTCATGTGATCAGATCAATAATCAAGCGATAAGATTCAACGTTACGATTATAGGGATGGTCATCCCGGATAAACGAACAAACTAGGAGGTTGTTAAATACCTGGGTAGGGCAATCTAGGAAGTTGTAAACAGTGTTTCTTCCAGACTTCTTTTTCAGGGTGGGACACTGTTAAAAGTATATATTTTCTATATAAATTCCGTTTCGTTTAGAGGGAGGGGGGGCAGTACAGATGCTTGGAAGTAACATGGTTGTCAAATACCGTGGGTCGGACAGAATCGTGACTTCATCAAATAGAACAGGGGTCTCCAAACTTTTCAGTCCGAGGGCCGCATTAACTATCAAATTTCAGTTTGGGGGCCAGTTACTTCCAGGTATGTCTTTGATCTCTCTGGGCAAAGTTCCTCAGCCATCATCAACAAACGTTTTTTTCCGTGGACAAAAAGATTTCCGCGGGCCGGATGAGAGGACATCGCGGGCCGCATTCGGCCCGCGGGCCGTAGTTTGGAGACCCCTGAAATAGAACATCGATGGGAAATCCACACACACAAATACGTGCATTACAAGAGGAACGATAACTCCACTTTTATTTACTTTGAACTATTTGCTTTAATAGATGGTTATCGTTCTTACAGGTCAGGAAGTGTGTTTTTTCAAGAAACTTTCTGAATTACCGATGTCTATAAATAACCAACAGTATAATAAGATGCTTTTCTCTATTTAAAGTCTCATTGTTTTAGGCGGATTTAATGTTGGGAATTTAAAAAAATAATAAAAAATGTTTTTGATGGAAGACTTGTTTATCAGAGTACCATTTTTTAAAATTTGGTCGGTGTTTCCATTGGTTGTTTTATTAAGTCGCAGCTAT